GTAGGTGGCATAGCTCTGTATGACTCACATGAAATTCCAAGAGGTCCTTGTGCCGACTCATCAAAGCCTCCAGCTGTTCTTCAAATTCCAACCTAGGAGCCAATCACAGAGCCACAAAGGCCATAAACTACCACAGAGTTTGCCTGAGGCCTAAGCCTGTATAGCACTTAGGGACTTTGTTTATTACCACTATCCCACAGGGAATACATTTGCCCCCTTGATCATCCAGGGCATTCCTGTACCTAGAGCACATCTCCAGCCCAAGTCTCATCTTCTCAGCTCACCTCAGTTGTCTTAGTTTGTCCTTCTCCTTGTCGATCTGAGAGTTCAAGAAAGAAATTCTCTCTTTACACTCGTGTAGCATGCTGTGTTTCATGGGAAGGGAACCGACACTCAGTCATGTGTTTGAATGACTCCCCACAGGGCAGGCCGAGGACTTCTATCCTGTTCCTCTCTAGTCAGTGGACGGTGTGGGAGGTAACAGAGCACTCAGGAGCCCACTGCAGGCATGGCTTCTCACCTTTGCGTCTCGTTCTCCTTCTCCTGGCACTGCAGCCGGAGAACCCATAGGGTCTCTGTAAGGACAACAGGGCCCTCTGAGTGCTTGCTGAGGCATTAGGTTTGCCAAATGGAACAAAACAGGTCATGTGAAGTCTATGGACACCCGATTGGACTTTGACATTTTCTGGATCTGGTAACAGCCATAGGAAGGGCACAGGTCAGAGGTCTTAAGGTTCTAGATACTAGAGAGAGTAGGCTTAGAAAGGGCATCACAAAGCCTAGAGTGGGGACTATGGGAATACCTTGCTTTTTGTTCAAGATATCCTTCAGACATGCTTTCTCTTCAAGTACTAGAAAACATGATGAAGGTTCAGACATTAGGGACCAAACACAGAAATGTTAAGGACAGTCATATGAGAGGCAAGGTATATCTTTGACCCTAAGACAGATGCAGTTTCTTTGAGGTCAGTTCCCACCCCTATGGTACTCACACTCCTGTAAACACAATGGGCCCTAACATTCACAAGAGATGTCTGTGAGGACAGTGTGTGACATCCATTAGGACTGGGGAGAACCACATCAATCAAAAAGGGCCATGTGACCAGGTAAGACAAGATGACTAAAAGACTTCTCTAGTAATTCAGAGCCGGTGCTGTGAGGCAAGAACTTGTGAGATCTGTGGTAATCCTTGGAGGATCATCTCGGCAAAGGACTTGGGGCAGAAATATCCTCAAAGGCATTTCCAGAACTCTATTAGAAGCTGGGAATGCTAGAAGAATATGACCTTGGAGGAAGAGAAGAATCCTGGCTCTGGTGAGGCTATCAAGCGCCTGTGACACTGCACTGAGAGAAGTCTAATATATTCTGGGAACTTACAGTGACTCTCAGTTAACTTACATGAGTCCAGGTCCTTCTGCAGGGTATCCCAAACAGTCTGGGCCTCTCCAAGCTCCTCACTGGCTTTCCTTTTTGCTTTACCAAAGAGTAGAACAAACATTTGGTAAGCACAGCCTCAAACGATGACATTTCATATTTGTCTCCAAGAAAACCTAGAGGGGCCCAGATTTTACAAAACAAGAAACAAGGCTTTCTAAATGCTGGCCCTTCTTTCTGGACTCAGGGGACAGCAAGGCCATTCACAGATAAATGAAGGCTATGGCAATTACACACAGAAGGGGTCTTCACTTACGCTCTCATAAAAGAACTACAGATATTTAACAAGGACGCTGTATTTCCACATTTTACTGGACCTAGCTCGGAAAAACATGTACCTGGTCTTGGATAGCAGCCAAAACTGGGCTCACCTTGCTGAACCTCATTAATGCGGTTAATCAGGACCTCAATCTGGGGCTCTAGACTTCCCACTGCAGGGCAAAAAGGAAGCTCATTGTTGATAGAGTGTGATTGCCCAGGATCCTACAGCCTTCCCTTCATGCCTATCTGCTAGCATCTCATAGGCTCAGGGGCTACATTATAGTCTCAGACTTGGAGTGTGAGGGTCAAGGCAGTGGTAACTTCTGTAGAGAGAAACAAAGCTCAGGAAAAGGTCTACAGGTAAAGCTCAGGGTGCTTCTCAGTTTGAGAAAAGAAGGCCCTTGGGCTCTCTGGGTAGAGTGGAGGGTGCAAAGTGCAAAGGCCTGTCCTGAGGAGGAAATGAGAAGAAATAGGAAGAATATGGTAAACATGAGACAGAAGAGTTATAGGTAAAACCTCTGAATATAACAGTGTTGTGCAATCAAGGGAGACTTGGGACAAGGTTTCGGCAAAGCATTTTGCCTTTTATCCACTCATGCCTCCATAATTTTGAGTCATTTGGGGGCTCCATTTTTTGCTCAAAAACTAAAATTTAAGGGACCAGTGAGATGGTGCTGTGGGTAAAGACCACCAAGTCTGACAACCTGAGTTTGATCCCTCAGAAGGGAGACAGAACTGACTC